CCCCAGGCACAGGTTGGAGGCCGCGATGTGCAGCGCCGTGCCGTGGTTGAAGTCGCTGCAGGTGGAGTTGAGCACTGCAAGGCAAAGCGCAGACAGGGCCCCGGGGGGGCGTCAGGCCCTGCCGGGGACGGACCAGCCCTCGTGCCAGGGACTTGAGGGGAAACAGAGGCGGGGGAGGGAGGGATTTGTCCAAGGTCCCACAGCGAGTCAATGGCAGAATTGCAACAGCACCCAGGACTCCTGAGTCCCAGCCCCCTGCTCCAACCACTAGACCCCACTCCCCTCCCAGAGCTGAGGCGGAACCCAGGAGTCCTGGCGCCTTCCTTGGGGCTCTGACACTCGCTGGTTGCAGAAACATGGCTGGGGCCACAGGGTCCAGCCCAGCACAAGCCCAGAGCCTCTGGGCGGTAGCGCTCGGGGGGCCCCGGCTGGAGTCGGGGAAACATCCTCCCTCCCTCCCCATCGCCCTGGCTCACCTCTGGGCTTGGAGCTTTTGAGCAGGATGCGGATGAGCTCGGGCACGTCGAAGTAGGCGGCGTAGTGCAGCGCGTTCATGTTGGTCCAGCGGCTGCGCAGGGTCACGTCCGCCCCCAGGGCCAGCAGCTGGTTGGAGAGGCGGACGGCAGCGGCAGGGTCACCTGGGGGGAGGGGAGGGGGTCAGAACCCGCCCCCAAGGCTACGGGACAGCCGCACACTGCAGGCGAGAGGAAGGCAGAGGGGCGGTGGGTCCCCCCGGGGCCATGGGGCCCTAACAGCCATGGTGACTGGGGGAAAGCCCAAATTACCCGGACTGTGACGGACGCCAGCCTGGGTCTGCTGAGAGCCTGAGCCCACTGGCCTGAGGGGGGAGCTGCCCTGGGGGTTTCAGTGGGCTGCCAGCTGCCCTGCTCCAGGGGGCCAGGAGAAGCCTACCCCTGCAGGGAGCTCTGTACGGGGAAAGGTGCAACGGGCCCAGCCAACAGAGACATCCCAGCTGCTGGGGAGAGCCCTGAGTAACCCGCCTGCCCCGGGGTGTGGGAGAAAGGACGGGCGCTGAGAACAGGCCCTACCCCGCTAGCCCCGCCTCACGGGCCCGTGGCTGCCAGCGTCCCCCTCGAAGTGGCGAAAGGGCCCATGCAGGGGCGGGCAGGGGGCCAAGCCCTTTGGGAGCCTGAGTCCTTTGAATTGTCCCAATTTCTCCAGGCTCCCCCCGTCCCCAACTACAAGAGTCGGCCCTTCACACCTGGGCTGGAATTAGAGGGTTTCCCAAAAGAAACCCCACCCCCATGCAGCCGGAGCCCTTCCCCCACCTCCCAGCCTGCAGCCCTCTCCCCTCCCCC